ACTAGAGCTAGGCACTACTATAATAGCGTTATTATAGCTATAGTTATCTTCTCTACTTCTACTACTACTACTACTACTACTACTAGTGTTACTAGCGTAAGAAGTTAATATAGTAGCCTTTAGATAAAGTGTAGTATTTATCTACTTAAGATATTAGAGCTTCTTACTAAAAGCTTTAAAGTCTTTAGCGTAGACTTTATAGTCTATAATATACTTAATATAAGTATACTAATAAGTAGATAGCTTCTTATAGATATAAAGAATCTTCTCTTTATTATTCTACTTAAAAGTAGTAACGCTAGTCTTAAAGTAGGTAAGAAAGGCACTAATATTCTTATCTAACTTTATTTAGGCCTCTTTATTATAGAAAGTATATACTACTAAATAGTAGTTTAGGTAACTATAGACTAAGTCTAGAATATTCTAAACCTATTAGATAGACGTAAATTCTTTATTATTAACTAGCTAACTATCTTATACTATAGTCTAGGCGTTACTAGTAATATATATACAAAGGTAATTAAGTTATAGAGTATTATTACTATTATATATAGTTATAAAGGCTTAGAACTAGCTCTCTATATTAAGCTTCTATTTATAATAGTTATCTAGCTTTATACTAACACTACTAGCAAAGATAGCTAGCTTAGGCTATTTAGAGTAATAACTAATAAAGATAGTTAATACTACTATAATAGTTAATAGAGCTAGTAATAGAGCTAGCTTATAGTCTTATTAAGAAGCGCGTTTATAACTAGAGCAAGAAGTGTTAGAAAAACTATTAGAGTTGTTACTAGACTTAGAATTATCTAGGTCTAAGCCTACTAGTTAAGTAGTGTAGGTAAGATTAGTAAAGTAAGTAATCTCTTAACGCGTAGTAGTGTACTTCTTATACTTTATATTATAAGTAGCTTTATAGATATTTTTACGCTTTATAGCCTTATCTATATATTAAAAAGTATTAGTAATACGCTACTCTTATTTCTAGAAGAACTAATAAGATTTACTCTAGATCTATTACGCTTACTCTATTAAACTAGTGCACTTACTATTAGACTAGATAAGAAGGTTACGTAGGTCTTTAGCTAACTTAAGAGTATTAGCTACTTTAATATAGAGAAAGTAGTTTATATTACACTTATTAACTAGGTCTTCTCTAACTTACTATATCTTATTATAGGTAATAGTAAGATCTTTATTAAGAAGGTAAATAGTGTTAAAGTAGTATTTAATTATATAGATAATATAGTTAAGGTCTATATATTCTTATCTTTTTAATATTACCTTATCTAAGTTACTAATATATATAGAGTTGCTATCTCTATTAAGCTTATAGGCGCTAAGAATAGAGTATTTACTTTTAGTCTAGTTAGTCTTAGGCTATACAAAGCTAGTAATCTTACGTTATTATAGCTAGCGAGCGTTATTAGAATACGCGTTCTTATTACTATTAGAAAGGTTAGCGCTACTAGAATTAACGCTACTAAGGTTAACGCTACTAAGATTAACACTACTAAGAAGGTTAACACTACTAAGATTAGCGCTGCTAGTATTATTATTACTACTACTATTATTACTACTATAGTTACTACTACTAATAAACTTAGGCTTATAGATAGTCTTCTCTTTTAGAGATAGAGATTAATATAGGTTTATAAAAATTAGTAGAGAAAAGAAAAAGCTCTAAGTGCGCTACTAGTTAATAGTAGTAGTAGTCTTAGAGATATAAAAGCTGCTACTATAGACGTACGTAAGCGCACTAGAGAGAAAGCTATAACGTAGCTAATTAAGATAGTGTTAGATAGTATTCTTATTGCTAGCTCTACTATAGTTCTTAGTAACGTTAAAGAAATTACTAAAAATAACACTTTTACTAGCCTTAGACTTAGAGGCTACTATAGAGTTAATAAAGTCTTTATAGTAATAGATAGTAGTAGTGTTAACCTTACTATTAGAGAGCTTATTATTAGAGTTAAGTAGATAGATATAAACGTTTAGGTTAGCTTATAAGTTATTCTAGAAGAAGCTAAAGATATTAGGTAGACTACTTTTATAAAGGTTAGCGCTACTAGTTAAGCGTAGAAGTTACTATAACTAGCTAAGAGAGAGAGAACTAAAGATAGTAGACCTAGACGCCTATTAGAATAGCGTAGTATAGAACTAGAACTAGAACTAATTAGCACTATGCGTAACTAATATAGTAGTAGGCTTAAGAAAGAATAGAGTAGAAGAGGCACTAACGCTAGAGGCGTTCTTAGAGCTAGAGATTACTACCTATTTAGATATAGTAAAAGTCTTAGAGAAGACACTATAGGCGCTAGTAGCGCTAGGTAATAATAGAGAGTTTAGAGATATAGTGCAACGTATTATAGAATCTATAGAGAAGTAACTAGTCTATTACGCTAGACTACTATATAGTTCTATTAACTATAATAACATATAAAAGTCTTATAGAGATTAGATAGTTAATATTATATTAAATTATAATATTATTATAGTAAAGCTTAGAAGAAGCACTTAGAGGTTAAATATATATACTATAGGTTATTAGGCTAACGTAGGCCTAATACCTAAAAAACTAAACTATTATAGCTAGCTATAGTAGACTTATTAAGCTAATTCTACTACTACTATACTAGCTTATAACTAGTAGTAAGCCTAGCCTTTATATAATATAAAGCTTTTAATTTATTATAAAAAGTATAATACTTAGTTTAGTTTTATATAAACTTTTTTAAAAGCTTAAAGCTCTAAATACTAATAATAATATAACTCTAAGAGTTATTTCTAGAGTTAAAGTAACCTAGATATACTTAGAGAATATTTTAGATATATAGTAACTTATATATACTTTTTAGTTAGTAGATATAATAGATAATAGTACTTACTAGAATATTAGTAAAAGTTATATACTTTTTAGTTTTCTTATACTAAATACGTGTATTTATTATAGTAGCTATTTTAATATAGTAAGTTTTTACTAGTATTAGATTTTACTACTATATACTAAGAAAATATATAATATAGAATTTTAATTATTATATATAAATAGCCTTTTAACTATACTATTTAGTACTTTCTTAACTATAGAATTATAGTCTTTTACTTTTATAGTTTTTTTATAATTACTTAAAGTTCTATAATTTTACTACTTAAGTTAACTAATATATATATAATATATTATATTACTACTAAGTAGATATAATATATATAAGGTTATACCTAAATTCTATATATACTTACTAGCTAATAGTATATAAGGCTCTTTAGATACTATTCTATAGTAGTATATTAGTTAGACTTTCTTACTAAGTTAGTATTTACTATAGCTCTAGCTAGTAAAACTTTAGTAAAGCTCTAATATAGAGTTAAGTTAGTATTTAAAACTAGAAAGCTCTAAATAGAAATATAGAGTTCTAAGAGTATAAGTTTAAATTATACTATTTACTATATACTAAAAAAATAGATTTTTTTTAATTACTTTATTACTAATTATAAGTATAGAGTAAAGTACTAATTATTACTTAAAATATAGAATTATAATAGAATAGTAATATACTTTAATAAGTAAAAGCTTAAAACTCTAAATAAAACAAAAAAAAATATTTTTAGAGTAGTTAAGCACTATATTAGTAGGTATACTAGTAAGTAAAGTATATATATATATATATATAACGCTAATATTTATAAATATAAGTTACTTAAAGATCTAGAGAATTTATAAAAAAGTTAACTATTTTAAAAATATAATATAAAAAGTAATAGCGCTTATATAAACTAAAGCTACTTATATTAATACTATAGAGTAAAACTATATACTTATAATAAAGAAGTATATTAAGTTATAAGCTAGAGTTTAGTTACTATTAGTTTAAATAGCTAAATAAATAGAATATTAAATTTAATATTACTAGTTAAACTAGTAGCTAAATAACTTATATTAAATAAGACGTTTTATTTAGACATTTAGTTTACTTTTTGCGTTTTTTGCTTCCTTAGAAGACTACAGCACCTCAACGTCGACGAGCATTGCAACTCTACCACAACCTCATCATGGCTGGCACACGAAGATCTACGCGTCAAACGGCAGCGGCAGCACCAAAATACAACCAAGACAACAGTTCATCCGTCGAAGAGACACAGCTCAAGCGCAATGCCAGGCAGGCGATGCGTCGCAAGCGTGACCGCGAAGACGACGCCGACCAAGATACAACAGACAGCAGCGCTCCTCCGCCCAAAAAAGCTGCTACAACCAAGCCTAAACCTCCTAAGACGAACTCTCTACCCGCGCCTGTTTCATCCACCAACCGCGACGCGACCGGCGCCCAAGAAGTCTACTGGCTGCTCAAAGCCGAGCCCCTCGCGCGCTACGAGAACGGCGTAAACGTCGCCTTCTCCATCAGCGACCTGCGCGCCTGCACAGAACCCGAGCCCTGGAGCGGCGTCCGCAACCCCCAGGCACGCAACAATATGCAGGCCATGCGCAAAGGCGACCTGGGCTTCTTCTACCACTCCAACGCCAAGCCTTCGGGTATCGTAGGTATACTGCGTGTTGTTGACGAAGCAAAGGTTGATGAGACGGCCTTTGACCCCAAGGACCCCTACTATGACAAGAAGAGCGAGAGGGAGAAACCCAAATGGTTCTGTGTAGACGTCGAGTTTGTGAGCGAGTTTGAGCATGTGATAGATTTAGCGAAGATTAAAGAGTTTGCTAAAGAGGGGCCGTTGAAGGATATGCAGCTTGTCACGAATTCGAGACTGAGTGTGAGTAGGGTAAGGAAGGAGGAGTGGGAGTTTATTTTGGGGTTGGCCACGGACAGCAAGGAAGTTCAGGCAGAGTAGAGAGGTGCGCCACATGCAGTCGTAGAAGCTTGATTATGTCGTGAATCGATCTGAGATACCCCTTGTAAAATTCCCGTTTCATGTTGTATCGTCGACAACGTCTTTATGTATTTCACACCCTGTACTGCCCATACTGAGAGACCTTGTCTCAGACTGGGCTACTCCTCAATACTGAAGCGCTTGGATGATCTTCGGACTGTTAAAGAAAGCACATCGCTCCTGTAATCTCTGTTCTGCCATCTCTCTTGTCGCGTTCGCCATGCCCAGCGCACTATTGCTCGGATGCGCGCCACCAATCGTCCTGACATACGGACCGCCTAAATGTCAATGTACGGAGTCAGCGCATGCCTCACACGCAGTTCGCAAATGAGAGATTTTACCTGGCCGGCTAAATGCCTCATCCCAGTTCAACAATGTGGTGGATTGTGATCCGCTCTCTGCCGGGGCTCCTTGACTCACAAAGGTGCTCCACGACCGGCTTGCTCGCATAGCAATTTCGTAGTCGTACTCGGTCGGGTCAAACGGGTAGTCCGTCTTGTTGTACACTTGCATGCTGTCGAAGACGTACGCAAACTCAGACGTGTGTACCACGCCAAAGCCAACAACGTCTTCGGTGTACTCGAGGATGGGATCAAGTATTGTCTGGTTGAAGTTGTAGAAGTAGACTGGCGCTTTGTGCACTTTGTCAATTGCAACACCCAGATGTAGCGATGGGCACACCATGAGGATATCGCGGAAGATGCGTGCAGAGCGATAGAACTCTGCTGTTAGGTTCACACTGGTTCCGAATTCTTCTACCGGGTACAAGTCCAGTAACTGAGTGAGAGATTCCTCCGACATAGCCGGTAGGTAGTCGCGAACAAAGTCGTACGTATCTTGTGCGGTTGCGATGGAGGTGTTGGTGTACACGTTAAGGTCGCCTTCCATCCAGCCGGACATAAAGGTAGCGTTACCGAAGCGTCCTTCTGCGATGAGCTGACTTGGTGCCGCAGGAAGGAAATCGCCGTCCACCTGTGGCAACCAGATGTCCCCAATATTATGCGCGATATCGCTGAGATACGTCGCGTTCGAGGCTTCAAAGAGTGTTTCAGTATCTAGTCCCCGTAGACACTCAATCGTCCCTGGAGCGTCCACATCAGTAGTGTTGCACCCCACGTAATTGACCAGCGCGATCATCGCATCCTTGGCGAAATTCCCTGTGATACCAGGCTCAAGGGACTGAGACTGGGCGATACCTCGCTCGAAAGGAAGTGGCTTCTCTCCGCCGTAAGCCATAATCTGCATTCCGATTGCGAGGCCGCCGGAAGACTGGCCGGCAATCGTAATCCTCTCCGGATCCCCGCCAAAAGCAGCAATGTTGGTGCGGACCCACTCGATAGCAGCGCGCTGATCACGTAGACCAGCGTTCATGCTTCCTTCTTCTTTCAACCAGTCTGAACTGGCAAACCCAAAGAACCCGAGACGGTAATTCATGGCCACATGGATGATTGGGTCCCCATTTTCTACCGACTGCTTGATCATTCCGTCAGGCGCAGTCGTCGGCTCCGTGTTGCTTGCCCACCAGAAAGATCCTCCATGTATCCATACCAGAACTGGCAGTGGTCCCTTTCCAACTCTGTCAGTCGCTTTTGGCCGCGCTACGTTCAAATTCAGGCAGTCCTCGGATGTTTCAGTTATATTGCCCAATCCAAGAGGTGGATAGAGCACACCCAATGGTTGTGGACATGCGGGACCAGGCTTGGTAGCATCGATGGTAGTACCTGGAGAGTATTCGTAGGGAATCGGTGGTTTGAATCTGTTTTCGCCGCTGGTATCATGAGCATAGGGAATGCCCAAGAAGATTTCGATGTCGTTGCGTCCGATGCCTAGGATGTTGATAGGATCTTTCAAGTCGCCGAACTGGACACCTGCCGTCGTGGTGACAGCGGCGACGAAGCAGAACAGCTTAGGAAGGTGCATCTTGATCACCAACCACTGTAAATCCCGTGTTGGCTTATACGATGCGGCGAATGTGAGTCGGAAAGCTCTCGTAATAGGTAGTTGGCAAAGTTGTTGTGTTGCACAGAAACACTGCAGTAGCTGTAAGCACATAGATAACATCCTCCATGCTAGCCCCATGTAGCAGGTGCACGGTTGTGACGTGATAGACGGGAACAGGTGCTAGCGCGACATTAGACGGCAGTAGCGTAGAGCTCATCCACATCATTGATGCGAATCACCATTGTCCAAAATCCAGGTTGTTCAAATACTACTTCAAATAAGAAAGGTAGCGTGAGGCCTGCGCAAGCTATCCTGCGCTGATGCACGCCACGTGCAGATACCGTGCGCTCAAGGTGAGCTGCTCGGCCCGTCAAACACTCACAATATACCGACGATGCTACCCAAGCAAAGCTCCCTACAGTCGCGCTTGTGCACCCCGCAAGTTCCTAGCAACCTCATCAAACCTCTCATAGCAGTCGGTCTCTGCATCAAAATTTAGCAGCCATGCCTCGCGTGCTAGGTGAATGGATTCCGGCCTCTTCGCTATCTCATCCCAGTTGGCTTTGTGCCATCGCTCGCGCGTCTTAACCCCCATCGCCTGTGCTTTGTGCACCCTTTCGTAGCGGATCTTCTCGAATGCTCGTACAGCTAGAGGAATGCTTTCTTTGCCAGCCAGTTCCAGACATGCCGCCAGTACAACACCGTCTTCGATGGATTGACTGGCACCCTGGATGGATGTTGGAAGAAAGGGATGCGCTGCGTCTCCAATCAAAGCGATACGGTGCTGTGGCGAGATGAAGGTCGGCAGCGGATCGCGGAAGACGAGTTTATGATCGATGAGACGCGCGCCTTTTGGCGTCGACCTTACAATCTCTTGCACGATGGGTGCCCATCCTTCTACATACCTCAGGCAGTCTTCCACTCTGCCTGGGAATTGCCAGTCCTCCTCGATATCCCCGTCGTCTACGTGAGTAAACACCCAATTGAACTCCTTGCCGTCTTTGAGCGACGATACCAGAAAGTGAAGATCTGGACCTATGAACCCAGAGTGACTGTCTCCATCTACGAGATGTTTCAGGATCGGGTTGTCTTTGATGGCATCTCCAGAGAACCATGAGCGATATACAGCGTATCCCGAACTCTTCGATTTGTCGTCAAAACCAAGCACAATCTTACGGCCGCGGGAACGAACTCCCTCTGCTGCAATGACTGCATCGGCAACCATCTCTTCTCCATTGACTACCACGCCAGCTTTTTCATCGTCCTCGAAGTAATCAGTTACACGTTTGCCCCACTGAATATTCACTCCCCGATCGACAGCATGCTGATGAATAATACTGTACAGTTCTCCTCTATGTCCATTGATTCTCGGCCCCCATTCCTGTTCGGACACAAAACTCTGCCTGGTGACAAACTGCCCTTTCCAGTGGTACAGATCCAGCCATGTTGTTTTCCGTGCCACTTCCTTCATCGCTTCGATGACGCCGGGCCAGCGTTCGAAGTTGCGCGCACCGTTGGGATCGAACGAGATGATATCGCCAAACCGGATTATGTCTTCCACATTTTCCGCTTTCTCAAGAAGAACGACTGAGTGGCCTTTGCGATCGCATTCTATTGCTGCTGCGATGCCCGCGAAACCTGCGCCTACTATGATGACGTTGACACCGGACGGAGGGCGGCGAGGAAAGTGCGCCATAATGAAGTGAGAAGTATGGTGAGTATACAGGCAGATGAGAGAGCAATCGTGTCTTTCGTGGTAGGTGTGCTGATCTCCTTCCCCGTAGATACAGTGTGGGGTCCGCTTACTGGCACGCCACAAGCATGGCCCCACATGCAGCCTGATTGTAGTTCTGTCGGTAACTGAGACCTCTTGGTCATCGCCCGGCTGTACTAAATTGTGCTAAGTCGTTTTCTGACTGACTCCATCCAATGTGCGAATCAACGATCCACGCACGCCTGGGATACATATTTCCATCCCCCCACTCCCTTTTCGCCTGCAAACCTCTTGTGTGACATACAGAAACGTCTCTCGATATTTTCCTCTCAGATCCGAATTTCCGACGCCTCTTCCTCTTCTCAAGTTGCTATGTCGCGTTCTCAGGGATAACCGCCGGAGCTTCACTTTCAACTTCACTCTCTGATGTTCAATGATGCTCTACCCGCCTTCCCTATTGTACGTCAAGCTTGGAAAGTCAGTCCCAGACATCGTTATTATTGGGCAAAACACCCGACATCTACAAAGTTTCGAACCTCTCATCTTCCCACTGCCTCTTGCTTAGCTCGACAAGCACGCCGGTGAACCTTGGTTCTCGGGGCACGTTAATGTCGTAAAAGCGATACAGATTGTTGACGACCGTAAGAAGAAGACAGTAGCACACAAGGTAACGGAGTTCTGCCTCATTGCGGACGTGGGCGAAAGTTGGAAGAAAGGTAATGTGCTACTTTTTCACCACCCATGTGTCTTATGGCTTTAGATTAGGTAGGTTAGGTACATGTTGCTTGCGCTCGTTGTAAGCAACCAGCTCGATCCATGTACTTGATGCTGAACCCTCTAGCTTCGATCTCCGCGAACTGGATGTAACAATAGTTCCAAGCTCTACTCAATCCCGGAGACACCGTTTTTTTATTTTTAAACGACATTGTAGGCACCCATCTGCATCATGATGCGTACGAGTTCACCAACATCAATTGCCTCGTCGTATCTCATGTTGTTGTACTTAGCCAAGAAGCGCATCATACTGCGCACCCATCGTCAGATGAAGGTCCTGAAGATTGGCGTATGCGGCAACCTTGGCGATCGAGTTGAGCTCTGACAGATTAACCCATAGTCGTTCACCGCCCGTCGAGATGGTGGGTACGTGATTATCTGAAGAGCTGACGGCTATGCCATCGATCTTTACTACACGGGCTGGGGTTTGGGGTGCTTGTGGAGGTTGTCGATGGCTCACAGGCGTAGAGCCGCTGTCCGAGTTCTTGAATGAGTGGGGACACTATGATGTGCCGCTATTGGCGGCGTCATCTGACACAGTGGCTATTGTCGTCAAAGTGAATTGGTTCCTGTGGTTTTCGGCTTGTTCAGAGCACTAAAGCAGTCAGATCCGATTCTTGTAAGGAGGCGAGTAGGCGCAATTGATCATAGAGTAAGTGCAAGGATCTCCGCGTTCACCTCCGCGTTCACTAGTTCTTATTGATCCTCAACCTATCCCAGAAGTCCGCGATAAACCCAGCAACCTCCGGCACCCGTTCCCGTACAACACTATGGCCGGCTTGTGGGACAACAAAGATGCTATCAAAGCCAATTTCTCTCAACTCTTGCTCTGCACAAACTTCATCGTTCTCGCCCAGTACCACTAATGATGGTATACCAGACATTGCGGCCTTTTCAAACGCACCGTGATTGTTCATTGCGCCGCCATCTCTAAACGCTGCAATCACGGATGATGTATGACCACGATGTTCGTGCATCTGCCACTCCCTCACTGCCTCCGCAACAACTTCGCCTCTTCCAGCTCTTTCCCTCCAGTCACTTGGTACTACCAGCCGGCCGCCTTCGAGAAACTGCAGGATGACTCTGCTCAGTTCATCGTTATCGTTATCGACACCGTAATCAAGATGATGCTGATCCTCTTCTGGAAAAGATGAAATACAAAGAAGCCCAGCAGGCGCAATGAGCGTAAAACTGCTGACGCGATGTGGCCGTGAGTCAACATATCCGACTGTTAGTGAGCCGCCAAAGGAAAAGCCGATGAAATGTGCCGATGGCCATTGTAGATGATCGAGCAGCGCATCTAGCAGCCTATGGAATGTGGCGGCTTGATGCGGAACTATCGGCGTATCGCTTAAGCCGTGACCCCAGAGATCCACCAGCACAAAATGTGAGTGTGGAAGGATATCGTGTAGAGCGCGAGCCAGAGGTAGCAGTCCTATTGCCGGAGTCTGGATGCCATGAACGAACAGCACGTGATCTGTCGTCTGCGCGTCTATGGAGGGTACCGAAGGTGGTATCGAGTAGTATGCAGCTTTTCCATCTTGTGTTTGCAGGTATTGCGCGGGTGGAAGGATGGCGCCAAAGGTGGAAACAAAAGATGACTCTGAGGGACCTGGGATAGGCGGTTTTTGTCGGAATGCTCCGCCAGGCCGTGGGATTGCGAAGTCTGTCCTGGTAGCACACATTATGTCTCAATGTCCGGAACCTGGATCAACGGGATGTCTACCCAGGTAATGCTGCGCCTACTCTCCAGCTTTTGTAGCATCTTTGTAAGATTCAGATCCATGGATGTTAGGCGAAGGGCGCGCTTAGCGTAAGCATGACTCGCGGATACGGGGAGCTCGCCCGCGTTCTCCTTGGGTAGGTACATGTCACTTTTCCCGTCTCGTTCCGCATTTAGCTGATGAGCGATGCCCAGTGCTTATTACGCAAGTCACTGAGTTTTTGAAGAATGCAAGAGTACCTAGGTATTCCCGACCACTACGATGTGAGCCCGAACGAACTCAGGCCCAGCCCCTGCAAACGATGCCACACGAGTAATCTCGGCTAGAAAGCGTACTTGCCTCAGTCCCGACAATGCCACTTCGCAGAGGGATGGAAGCACCGAGAACAGGAAAAAATCTACCATCAGGAGAGTAGCGGCAGCTGTCGCACGATAGTCTACAATACATGGCAAGCCCAGAACCACCGCGCTAACTGAGTAGTTCGGCAATGTAATATGTCAAAGAAAGCCATCGAATTCAAAAAGAATAGAAAGCATAGAGTGCGCCTTAGACTTAGACTGCGGTCTGGTCCTGGTTCGGGCTGGGTCATTGAGATTGTACTTTGGTACACGGTATGATTGCGATAGCTTTGATGTTGTTCAAGTCACGCTGGCAATGTCGCGAGGGCCCGAAGGTCGACCTTACTGGGCTCGTGTTACGATCAGAATATAGAGGAGAATTATTACATTTTGAACAGCTCGGAGCAGCTAGAAGCATCGTACCTCGGTAGTACAGACGGTCCTAGGCGTCTTTTGGCTGTCCATGCTACCTAGGTATGCTGGCCTAGAATTAAATTGTCGATAATCAACAATGACCTATCTAGCAGGTTTTTCTGCGGCGCGACGAGAGTACAGCCGAACACTTCGTAGGTTTAGTGCTCATCATAAGCCCGCCATTTGCGCTAATGGGTGACAGAAACTTTACCGGACACCTGTCGATCACCACTAACAATGTCGTTACTGCCACGATACCCAACGAGCGACACCTATTCGATGAACCCTATATCACCTCTAATGGGCGGATTAAGGTAGACCGCAGGTTCGAGAACGTTCCTATCGTAAGCTACTTGGATCCAAAGAATTGTACGGTGCCCCGAACTGGAAGTACGTTTTTATCTAGTGTTTACCCGATAACCAATTACGACAAAGCTAGATTCACCATCACTCCGATACAGCGAAAGTCTCTCACATCAGCAGTGATGGGCATTGACAACTGTGCCGGCTTCGTGAATTCGTCTTCAGATATAGCCATCGCTTTTTGAAAGAAACAATATGCAGTGGCGCAATCACGAGTGTCATGCAGGGTGCGATGGCTGCGCTGTTGATATTTGCTAGTACTGGTTTTCTGGTGTACCTAGGTAGCGTTGCAAACGAGTGTCCGGAACACAAGCATTAAGCGATGCGGAGCTACGGGAAGTTGCTACTACTCTACTTGCCAATGAGAGGCATGCCTGGACATGGCCTGTCAGGAACGTGGAACTGGAAAGGGCGTAGGTGAGTTGAGTGGGCCAATTAAAGGTCACCTCGATATGTTATGGTTTTATACTATACAGGTTCATCTTGACGAGGTGGAATGGGTCGCCTGAAAGACAAATATTGGTGGCTCACGATAAACAGCCGCACTTTCGTCACGACATGCCATTCGTGGTGCGTTCGGCAACTTCCAAAATTAGATGCAGGCTAGCTCCCGGGTTGTTTATCCTCCGCGATGCAGGGCCTCGAGCAGAATTCTAGCAGAATAAAGTGCTGCGCATAGATACGTCGGAGAAGGTATAGCGAGCCGGCAAGCAGGTGTTTTGATGCACTTCCGATGGTAGCGCAATTCTCATGTCACTCAGCCAATCAAAACATTAGCGTACCGACTCAGCGGTGCTTGCAGCACTTGCGCAATCGAGGATTTTGCCGACATGACCGATAGCTCGGCGAACATGACCTGGTCATCAAGAACAACTGATCGCGGGCTATCCGATCGGCTTTGCGGGGATGGAGCAATGATTGCTTCCAGGGGTTGAATCCACCGGTACATGCGCCAGCTCTTTAGGGCTGACTCGAGCGACCCTGCACCGCCGTGGTGCAGCGGATCAAGCCAGCCGTTGTGGAGATCGTGTGGCATACGATTTTGTGGATACTCAAGGAAAGATCATCTCCATCGCTAATCGTTGCGATCTCACTCTAGTAGAGGAACTGAAGCAGGCCTTGGAAGATTGCTCACTGCCACTTCACCAGTGGGTAAGACTGGGCGCCGTTGTGAGACATAGAGTGGCAGCTTGATGACAGGCTTATCCCTTCCTTGGACGTAAACAAAGCTCCACTAACTGCGTCGAACCCGTTTCGTGACGAGCCCTAATCCACCCGCCACCGGCAAATTGAAGTTGACACCAACGGCACATAGCATATGATAACTGAGTCAGTTTAGGAATTGGGTAGATTCGGCGAGGTTACATGGCCTCGCCCGTGCGCTCATGTGTTGTGGCTTTTACAGCGGACTCTGCATTCTACACCCGCACGAAAAGCAATTATTGCTACCCGTGCACATCGTCGTAAACTACCTTGTCAAAATGCTCCTTCTGTTCCCGCACCTAGTGTTTACCTTTGTGCTGTTGGTCAGCGCCTGTTGCCCCACGACGAATGCTGTCTCATTAGACGATGCGGCACTGGATGCATTGAGCCAGATTCCGCCATGCGCCGTAAGATATACATGGCACAAGAGGACGATTGTTGCAGCTGACTGTTGCAAAGCTAGATTGTATCAACGAAAACCTGCCTGCCATTGGCTGTACGCTCCTCGACATAGAGTGCCAATGTAGTTCCAAAAACTCGACCAAGATTTTGCAACCGTGCTTGGAAAAGGAGTGCAACTACAACGAGACCTTTGGTATGTTCGTCGCAGTGATCGGAAGCGGTATCACTGATGTGTTTGTAGCTACGCTCCGCATTCAAGCCTCTATTTGCGACAAGCCGCACGATAACCTATCGAACTCCATCCGGATAGTGGCATACGTGACTGGAATCATACCAATCATTGTGATTGTAATGCGCTTTGCTTCTCGATATGTGGGCAGCAATAAGCTCTGGTGGGACGATTGGCTCCATCTAGCAGCGGTGGTAGGTGTTCGATGGACAAATCAGTGTCATCTTACTTACGATTGTGCAGGTCCTGGTCATCCCTATGACTGTTGCCCTATTATTGAACCTCAAAGCGGGACTCGGCCATCATATATGGGACCTGACATATCCACGTGTCGTCGCAATCGGCAAATGGAGTACGCTTCCATCTGCTAGCTCTGATACATAAGTACTGACTAGAGACAGCCTATATTGCTACCATCTTGTGGGGTGTCGAATTGCTTCTCATAAAGTACAGCATTCTCTGCTTGTATATTCGCATTTTTCCGAACGTCTGGTTGAAGCGCGCGGTCTTCGCCTTCATGGCTTTTACGGCTCTGTTCACCCTGCCCCTACTTTTCCTGGCTGCGTTCCAATGTATTCCAGTCCGCGCTATCTGGAATCTTCAAGAGCAAGAAACCGCGAAATGCATCGACTATATTGCCGTCTTGAGACTGACGGTTGTATACGAGATCATCGCTGAGACTATCCTATTCAGTCTTCCTATCCCGATTGTATGGAAGCTGCAGATGAAGACTGCAAAGAAGATACAGCTACTCATCTTCTTTAGCCTTGGTATCTGGTACGTCTTGTCTTGGTCTTGTTCGATTTGTGTAATCTAACCCTTCCGAAGTGTTATTATCATGTCCATCGTACGCTTGCCATTTTTACCAGGGGTTGTCGACACTATCGACCCAACCTACACAGTGACTGGCACATCGATTACTGGATTCACCTCCAGTGGAGTTGCACATATATGCGCTGCCGTCCCCACAATCAGAAACCTGATACGATACTGCCAGAACGGGTTCAAGATGCCCACGAATATTCCTTCAAGCTACACCACGGACCGCAGCACTTACAACTCTACGAGCAAACGAAGCTACAAGTCATTGCAGGACAAAAATAATGCCTCTAATACAGACCAACAGCGAGGCAAAGCCTCATCTCGCGATACAAAGGATCCATATCGCCTATCCGCAATCGTGGATGCCGAGAATGATGGCACAGTCGTAGAGCTATGTGCGATAAACTCGCCAACTCACGCGAACGCATTGAATGATGGGGAACAGGATGGACAAGAAGGGGAGATTCGATGGACTCAGCGCGTGGAAGAACAATTTCCTACTATTGTTGGCGAATCTCCGTCGCCGGGGTTGGACGACTCAGCGTCTCAAAAGTCCATACTTCGTCAACACCCCTATTCATGAAAGCAAAAGAGGAAAGATCAATAACATGGATGCCGCCCAAGAAAGCTATTTCGCCATTACATGTACCTGCTTTGAAGTTGCAACAACAGAGGCCGCTTTAGTGATGCATGCAGAATTTGTGGACATGGTCGCACTACTTCCTTTTGCTTTGGAAGCTTACAACAGATATAGAGGGACCATATCTTTGAGTTCACCCGCTTTCCCTGATATTCATTCGGGTAGCGCAGACTAGTAGACGCACGCATGAGCTTGTGTCACACGAACAGTCGGCTCAACGCGACCATGGGGGCGTACACTCAAGAGTGTAGACTGATACATTGGGTAGGTATGTAAGTGGCTGTCGCAAGCTTTCCAAACAGCTGTCTAGGTGAGCAATTCAGCCAGGCGTCTGCAATGCTTGTAAGGATTTGAAGTAAGAAACTGGGATGCGATGCGAGCTTGTGCACGCCTTACTCTTTGTGGTCGTAGTACACATTTGGGTATAGGTGCTGCTTGATACGCTTTCTGTTTGATGGTGAGCAGTTCCCAGTGGCAGCCTGCAATCAGTCATTACGTGTTTCCGATTGGCCAGTGCCCAACCGACCCTAGCCAATGCAGCAGATGGCACCTGAAGTTCGCGCTTGCGCCTAAGAATTGGAGGAAGAAAAGCGGAAGCTAGAAGCTAAAATCATAGATATCCTTACACAGAGTGTTTCAAAGTTCGAAACGAGAGGTTACGAGTGCTCTTCAGTAGCGGAGTTACACCGAGTTAGCCTCGGCTCATCGCCTACATTTGACTTGGTGGCCGATGGAAACCACGACGACAATTTCTGCTTGCGCAATGTGTTCACTCATGCCTCGAAGTGTCACCAACTAAATCCTGAGCGGCAGGAGCGAGAATGGCTAACCAACGTATGGAGCTTACTACGCCAGCAGTGACATGGCAATTTCGCACGATTTACCTTACTGCATACAACGTCCTCTTCGCATCGCTATGGGCATCGGTCTTCGTTCGAGCCATGTCTAATGCTCGAAATGGCAAATTCGAGCTCTTTGATGCAACAGAGCCATATGCGCGATGGATACAGACCGCTTCGTTGATAGAAGTCTTACATGCGGCGTTTGGTATGTTCATCATTCCTACCTCTTCTTGTGCATCTCATTGAGAACGATACCAGGTGTCATCAAATCTCCAGTCAGCACAACCGCACTTCAAGTTGTTACACGCGTCATACAGGTTTGGATGGTGTGGTACAGCTTTCCGCAAAGCACGGCAACTTCGCATGCTTATCTTGCCTTGCTCCTTGCTTGGTCGGTCGCAGACACCATCCGGTACCTGTATCTTGCGGTCAACATGCACGGGAAAGCCCCGAGAGGACTGGTGTGGCTCCGGTATGTTCTCAAGCCACCTCATCCGCTACTTGGTCCTACCTAGGTAGCTGACTGTCCCAGGTATACCATGTTCTACCCACTCTATCCGGTCGGTATCGGGGCTGAGTGGTGGTTACTGTACCGGTCTATTGCTCCTGGAGCGAAGGTCAACCCAGTCATACCGCCCGTCTTTTACTTCTGTTTGATGCTCTACATTCCAGGTATGTACTCTTTTATGGCGGCCTGTTTATACTCGAAATTCACATCTTATTAGGTTCCTACACCATGTACACCTACATGATCAAGCAAAGAAGGAAGACACTGGGTTCCAGACACAAGGTCCAGTAAGCGCATGGATTTGGTTGCGTTCCAGTACGAACGTAGTCATATGCAAAGGATGGGCAGTCTTTTTGAACAGCTCTGTCTCCGTAACGGCTAATGTCTGGAATGTGGGAAGACACGCGCAATGGCATTAGCCCGGGACAGGCCAAGGCTGCAATGAAGGCTAGCGTATGTGATATGACAGGGCCGACACCAAGGACGAAGACGAAGAGCATGATAGTATTGCAAGAGGTTAGCATGACCGACGGTAGTAATGTTTAGAAAGAAGAATATATAACCATAAGAACCGGACCCACATATGGCAGACAGGTTAGATGTAGGAAACCTTGACGCCCATTCCTACGGTACGTCTCACCTTGTCCCACGCACTCCGTATGATGCGTAGTATCCTCTCTCTAAGAGGGCGCCTGCCAAACGCCAAGCCAAACGCCAACAAGAAAAGTAAGGTACGGAAGAAAGCCATGGGATTGGAAGTCATGTGATGGGCCGTATCGGAAATCAGGGTGTGCATGTTTGCGAACATGGTAGACGCGCGGTTGTAGAGGCCGGGCGGCGGCGTGGCTGGTTTCTTGGCGGGCGTTCGGGAGGTGCGGGAAGACTGCGATGGCGTGGGTTGTGGCTCGTCTGAGGCGCGGGGTTGGCGTCTGTTTTGTTCCTCGCGTATGCGGCGTTCGTCTTGTGCGCGCGCCTGGTCGAGGCGCTGGGCCTCGGTTTCTCTGCGGCGCTGGTCCATTTGCTCCTGTTGTTGCTGGCGCAGCTTCTCTTCGCGGGCTTGCGTGTCTTCCTTTTCTTCCTTGAGAGAGTGCAGTGCGAGCAGGAAGGCTTCCTTGCGCTCTTGGTCCAGCACCTCGGACATGTCGATGAAGTCGCGGGCATAGTCCCATTCGTCGTTGCGTGGCAGCACGTGCAGGGTGTAGAGCTCGAGGAGTTTGATGCGCTTTTCCAGGTCGCGCGGGGTGTCAGACAGGTGTGCGGAGGCGTCGGGGGCCGGGTTGGCCGTGGCGGACAGGTACGTCTCGAGCTTCTGCTGGTTGAGCCGCTGCGAGGGCGCATGGGTAAGGAGGAGGGTGGCGAGGTTGACGACCACGTCGGCGTCGACGTCGCCCTCGACACCCGCATAGCCGTCGCGGACCACGTGGTCCCAGATGCTGCCGTCGCGACACTGCGAGACCAAGTGCTTCCATCGCGTGCTGCCAAAGGCGTGCTTGCCCTCTTCGGCGCCCAGCTCGACCACGGCGTTGAGGAAGGTGAGGTAGAAGCTCCACACCTTGACCCGGGTGCCGCGCGACGCCGTCGCGACGGGCGCGTGGCCCACGACGTCGGCCGCGTCGATTGGCGGCGGGCTGATGATGGGCTCGATGGTCGACAGCGCCTCGGGGAGGCGTCGCGTCAGGAACAGCTGGGCAGCCTGTCGGTAGGCTTTGGCCATCTGCGACGACTGTTGCCGTGACGTCGAGAGCGACGAGATGGATGATGAGAGGTAGCGCGACCCGCTGACGTCGTCGTAGAGCGTCGCCATGTTTCGATGTCCTCTGAGCTTCACGAGCGCACAGCGGTGGGTGACGGAGCGCCCGGTGTCAACATTTCCAACCTCGGCTGACCTCACCTCACCCGAACCGCCTTGGCGCGTCACCTGCCTGCGACACCCCGAGCTATCTGCGTTTGCATCAGTCTGCAGACGTCAACTGGTTGTCAAGGTGCTTGACACGCGCTTGCCTGCGTCAAGCTCAGAGGCAGGAGCTAGACACGCGCTTTGTCGCTTGATCCATCGCTGCTAACCTCCACGACCATCTCTACGCGTCTCGCCATCATGGACGTCGACGCAGCTACCTTCCCGCACCACTTGCTGGCCATCTTCATCCACATATCCGAGGCCGACTTTGTGTCTTTTGATCTCGAACTGTCCGGCATTCCATCGCGCATCCAAGACAAACCTGCACATGGCCCGGCCCGCTTCACCATGGAGGAGCGCTATGCCGAGACCAAAATGGGCGCCGACCGCTATCAGGTCCTACAGGTAGGTATCACCTGCGCGCGCTTCGACTACCTTGCCAACACCTATGTCTTGAGGCCTTACAACATCAACATCAGCCCGCTTTTCGACGAGCGCATCGACTTTGAGCGTGAGATCAAGTTTCAGAGCGGCGCGTGTACCTTCCTCCTCAACAATGGTTTCGACCTGGGGGCTCCATTTGCCACAGGCGTACAGTACTTATCCCGCGACGAAGCAGAGCGAGCAAAGCGCATGGCCTGGGATCGACTCGAGAACAAGAATCCCATACCCGATCTGCAACTTAACTCGGCAGATGTCGAGTCGCTCGACTTTATGCGCAGGGTGAGGCAAGCCATTGAGAAATGGAAATCTAGCACTTCGTCGTCCTTGGACATTACAACTCATACAGGGCTTTCCACTCCGCCCGTAATACCCGTCATCACGCGATTCGAGAAGCGTCTCGTGCATCAGCTCGTGCGCGCAGAGTTCCCAGAGTTGGTGTCCATAGGACGCGGAGAGTGTGTTCGTATCCTCCATCTAGACCCTGTGCGTGAGGCCGACAACATGCGCAGGATCAAGAACCGCGTCAAAGAATCCATTGTCCGACAAACCGGCTTCCGCTGGATCTTTGAGGCTTTAGTCAAGGGCGGCGACATCAATCGCGCGGATCCACTCTATGTCGCACGCACTACTGGCACCATCGTCACTGCCGACGCACATGATATAAGGGATCGCTACGACAGAGCCATAGAGAGACTTAAAATTAAGCAGCCCGTGCTAGTCGGCCACAACATGTTCACTGACATTGTCTACTTTTATCGTACTTTTGTCGGCCAACTGCCTGCACGTGCAACATCTCCTCATTTAGACGACGCGCTAACTCCGTACAGGATACCCTGCAAGGCTTCCAGGATGCCATCCATGAGCTGTTCCCCAACATCATCGACACTAAATATCTAGCGACTCATGCTGAAGGCGACCTCAACGCCTCCCCTACACTACAGGATATTGCCGAGAATTCAAGTCTGCAGCCGTTGCCCCACATCGTCACGCATGCCGACCATCCAAAGTACCAAGAGACTGAGGCCTTCCACGAAGCAGGCTATGACAGCCTCCTTACTGCCACCATCATGATCAGGCTCGCCGCCAAGCTTGGTGCGGAGCGAGGAGAACAGGTTCCGGCGCCATTGCCCAGCCGTTCCAGTAACAAAACGAAAGGAGTGTTAGCGGAAGATGTTCAGGATTTTCTAAAAGATGGACGCGAGAAGGTCGACCTGCCCGTTCCCCTGCCCCCAGTGGAGCAGCCTCAACCCAAGAAAACAAAGAAACAAAGGGCCAAGGCTAGGAAAAAGGAGGCAAGACAACAACGATTCGAAACTAAGAACCTATTCGACACGCTCAAAGCTCTAAGCCCTGACGCCGAATCTTCCTCGACTGAAGATGACGGAGAGGTTAAGCTTCCTGAAGATAGTGAACTTGCAAAATGGGACGAACAGGTTCAAGACGTCGCCGGGTCATGGGAAAATGACGTCTACGTCCAAGATAAGACGGGATGGGTGCCGTTGGAGCAGGTTAAGCGACAGCCAATGGAGCTCATCCCAGCCTTTGATTCAAAGTTTTGGAACGAGTTTGGCAATACATTGCGTGTGTTTGGCACTCAAGAAGCTGTCCTGAAGATCGCAGAGTGGGAGGTTTGAAAGCCGCGCAAGCTTGACTCCTAGCTAATAAAAGGTGGAGTTGGCACCAAGGTTCTCATGGTTGTGTGCAATCTTGAAGAGCTGAAGTTACGCCGTGAGCGGTAGTAGAAAGACAAACATGTGTTGTCTCTAATGCGCAACTCGACTCTGTGCCCATCATAGTAATTCATCATAAGAGGCAGTGGTTTGAGTGCGTAACAAAGAGTTCTTCAATGTCTTCCCCTCTTCTTGTAAAGCATGGACAGCCTCCTGCGGCATTCCTTCGGTCCCAATTCAGCAGCGCCATCATCCACAATCACTTAGACCCAATCAAGTTGCAGGTCACCAAACACGCCTTTTCATCATAGACACACAGGTTCGGCAGCTGCCGCTCTTTTCAACGCCCGCCCATGTCATCACCCATATACAGTCTGCTTCTACCGTACACGAACCCGACTTTCGGTCCAAAAGATCGCACCTCCTCAGATATACACGATTTGCCTTTTTCAATCGATGCATATGACTCTGACAGACTACTCATACACCATCACTTCGAACGGCCAGCTCCAACAGATCTCTGCAGCGGTCTCGTGTGCTCTTCAGGACGTCATAGCGTATTCGAAAGATTCCGCAGGGAGAATGCTCGACTTGACATGTATGAGTCCGCAGTTTGACGGAAAATGGTCTCGGGATCGGAAGAGGTAAAGGATATAGGCAGGTTGTCAGGTAATATCAAATTGAAGGGTCGACGTCTGGTGCTGTTGACACAAAGTTTTCAACAACGTGCAGGACCAGCGCCTATGGCTTCTACTGGCTCGATGTTCACCTCCACCGCTTTTGTCTGTGTCGTACTCGATGGGACGATCCCTCGGTTGTGCTCTTCGTCGGAGCCGGGCACATCATTTTCCTGGGGTAATGGCTCAAAGTGCGCATTGTTGACTCTTTTCCTATCGATGCGACGTCTCCAAGGCTTGTACAGCAGAACACTGAGACCACCGAAAACGATAAATGTACCGCATATAGCTCCGCCTGCATCCTGTTAGTGTCGAGTTCTTTTAGTGCGATCAATCAGCTCACCAACTATATCCCAAGCATCGCCCAGCTTTTCGACGCCTTCCCAAAACTTGCCATGCGGCTCGGCAACGTTGAGCACCAGATTGAGGAACTGCACTGTCCCGATGATGGTCGCGACAACCACGGTAATGACTGTTAGCACAATGCTGTAGTAGCAAATGGCGATCGGGTCGCGCGCAAGTTGCGTGCTTGTGTACAGACTCATCATCAGCGCACCATCGGTGGTATCGAGAAGGCACATGCCTGCTGTGAAGAGCAGTGGAAAGATCAAGATCAGCCAAATTGATGTCCCCTTCGTGGCTTGAATCGAACTTATTCCTAGGATAGCGATCTCGGAAGAAGTGTCGAAACCTAGCCCGAAAAGTACACCCAGAGGATACATCTTCCAGGGTCGGTCGACCAACTTGAAGAGCTTCTGCAATATCGGGAAGAGGCAACCGCCGCCCTGTATCTTGAACTGTTCGTGCTCACTACCAGGGTCGCTCGAAACCATCTTTCGCATCTGTACTATGAGCTTGTACAGAATGTAGATGTTCATAAGACCAAGGAGCAACAAGAAAGCAGCAGAGACAGAAGTGCCGATGATGCCACCGACACGCTCGAAATTGTCAAACTTGTCTGACACAGCCGCTGCAGTTCCTGCAACGATGAGCGACGTGATGATGACGATGGTAGAATGTCCGAGACTGAAGAACATTCCAACCGTCACTGGCCGCTGGCCTGCAGCAACCAGACGGCGAGTCATGAGATCGATCGCCGAAATATGATCTGCATCCAGGGCATGGCGCAAGCCCAGAGTGTACGAGAGGATTGCTGTCGAGATCAGTGGCGTATGCCAGTGCTGCCGACGTTTAGCATATGCGATCAACGCCATTTGGATTCACCTTCTTTACTTACTAAGACTATACCAACTGCCGCCCAAACAAGGAGGTTTACAGCGACGAGGGTGATGATGATTGCAATTGCCGCGAATGGGAGCCTTCTGAGGTAGGGTGTCTGCGCATGATATGCAGATGCTTTGTTGGATGCATTGCGAAAGAATGATAATTTGCTCCCTGCATCGCTACCCACTACAGATGAGGGGCGAGAGGTTGCCATTCTACCAGAGTTCGCCCTCGCGCGTAACAAAGAGCGCGACAACTTGAGCTCGAAGCCTGATAGAAAGTGAAGGAAGTTTGAAGAGGTAACTATAGTGAAGCTTGGAAGGTAAGTATCGCAGATGCGGCTCCTGTCGTCCACGGGTGGCACCGTGGGATGCAAATGACGCCAAGTGGGGCTAGCAGCTGTTATCGTGACCCTCTGGCGGGGTAATTAGCATCATGGTGTACTAATGGTCGCGAATCCACAAAACCTCGGCATCAAGTTTTGACAATCAGAAGCTCGTATTATATATGGTGAACTATCGTCGACTCTCAAATTTTGCGGAAGCATAGACATGCGTTGGTGCCACCAAAACCGAAGCTATTCGAGAGAGCCACATTGACTCTGTGCTGTTGAGCAGCATTGGCGACGTAGTTGCAGTTAAAGTCAACCGCCGGATCTCCTGGATTCTCAAGATTGAGAGTCGGAGGTAGGATGTTCTGGTCATCGTCAACATGTAGGCTATGGCAAGAACCACATCTGACTTACGTGATGCATCCCAAGAATCGTGAAAATTGTCTCCACGCTCCCTGCAGCACCCAGAAGATGTCCGACCGCACCTTTTGTACTGCTCACATTGATTTCACAAGCTCTATCCTTTCCGTCTTCGCCAAGCAGAAGCTCTTTGATGGCTCGGTTCTCCGCAGCATCACCTAGTGGGGTGCTCGTCGCATGGGCGTTCACGTAGTCGACAGCGCTTGGCTTGAGGCCGGCATGTCGTAGTGCATGCTTCATTGCGAGACGTGGACCTTGGCCATCTTCGCGAGGTGCCGTCATGTGGTGTGCGTCGCTGGACAGTCCGTAGCCGGCGACTTCAGCATAGATGTTCGCACCTCGCTTCCTTGCGTGCTCGAGTTCCTGCACCTGATTAGATACGACAGGTACGGCAACCTTGCACACAGCGATCGCGTACCTCGAGAACCACAACTCCGGCTCCTTCTCCAATGACAAAACCATCCCGTTCTCGGTCGAATGGTCGACTGGACTCCATGGGCCGTTCATTGAACTCAGTAGCCAGGCTTCTAGCCCTAGCAAAGCCTGATATGGCGAGAGGATGAATGCATGATTCAGCTCCGCCGGCTATCATAACATCTGCATCTCCGAACTGAATCAAACGTGACGCGTCTCCGATGCTATGTGCTCCGGTCGTACATGCTGTTGTTGCCGCATGGTTCGGTCCCTATCATGGCTCAGCATCAACAAACATAGCCAGAAGGTTATAGCCACCTTGAACCCATAACGCATCGATATGTGACCTGCGGCTAGGTTGATCAACAGTCGTGGAACAAAGAGCGGGGACACCTTTCGGTAACCCTAGCACAATCAGTTGACAGTTACGATCGATAGCTGGGACAACCCACGCCTTTCTCATAAGCAATTGTGGTATCATACACATCATCTAAACTGCCGATACCAGATCCCATGTACACTCCCTATCTCGGTGTGAGTAAGATGCAGGCTGGGCGGATGCTGAGCCTCTGTACCGTGACTTCAAGATCGGCCGCTTCCTTCGAAAACCATCCCGCATCATTGAGAGCTTCCTCGGACGCCACCATGGCGTACTGTGCGAAGCGTGCCATACGGCGTTCATCCTGTAATAAAATTAACATTGTCAAAGACGAGAACGTTGGGTGGCGGCACATACGCTGTGGCTTAGATGCTCCTTTGTATTCCATTTGCCATCGGTTTTGCTACCCTGAGGAACCAGACCAGCGACTTGGCTCGGTAGCAGCGCGAATTCAGGGCTTCTGTCTTTGATGGAAACGATGCCACACTGGCTATCGATCAGACGCTTCCAGGTTCGTCGAACACCTATCCGCGTTAGGAGAAATGGGATCAAAGCAAGGTGAACGTCGCGTCACCTAGTCCAAGAGGGGTTACAAGCCCTAAGCCTGTTACTACTACCCGTCGCATCGCATGTCAGTAATAATGGTTGATGTTGGATGCGGACGCGTTTGGGTGGGCAGAGAGAGCTAGTGTCACGCGCAAGCCACGTGTGGCGTCCGTTAGCGAGAGGTGCGTGCTACATAGCCGTGATTGCGTCCGTCCTTGTTGTTTTAGATGCCTCCATTTCGCTCCCGTCGCAGGAATTCTATATAGTGCACGCTGAGCTTGGTTTCCATTTGCAGCCGTTGACTGGTCAGAGTACGCTTTGCGCCAGTCGGTTGATGCATTAATTCGACGATGACAAGTCGTATTTGGGCCAACAATATATTTCTGTGTACTATAAAAGCCAGACAACAACCTGCAATTTGCCCATGACCATCGCAATCAAAGTCGGGAGAGCTCAACCTTTCTGTTGTTGTCCAATCATCTAACTTGAAACACCTGCGGGCAGCCGGTGACTCTGTCTCTTGATTGCACTCGAGGGTTTGGCGACAGTCTTCGTGTTGTTGCACAACCTCATGGGAGAAATCGTATGGTAACGCCATTTTGCACAAAGCAGTGATTATGTCGCCAAGTAGGTGAAAACAATCCTGGACAATGGCGGACAGGCAACACTCGGAGGGAAGCCTCGAGTCTTGTCTCGGGCATTGCGGGGAACTTTGGAAGCAGTGTCAAGAGTATCAAGGCTTGGGCAGACACTTCAAAAAACCAATCTAGGCAAAGGGTGATGGTTGATGTTTGACAGATCGAGGGCATCATACGGGCCAGGCAAATCCCAAAAGCACGTCATTGTCTTGGCGAGCCTCGTCTAGCGGGCGTCTGCAAGCAGCACTCGACACCAATGTGATGACTCCCCACAATGTGATCGATACGCCAGACTTCCTGCAACGCAGGCTCCACTCTTCCCTACGACTACACGTACGACATCGCGACTATGGATACCTATGGATCTGCCAATGGATCGACGAAGTACAGTAGGTGCATTTTGAACTTTTCTTGCCGTCGCAAGCATTTCGGACAGGCAAAGCAAGAACGGCTGGTTGCTGCAATTTGCTATGCGGAATGTTGAAGAATCCAGACGGGTTTTCTTGACGCGTTCTGGCGGTGCATGATCCAAACTGACATGCGGTAGGGACGGTGTCGTCGCAGCCCGAGAATCCGTTCGCCAAACTTATCCCCGACCAGACCTTTGCCGTCATCCCCCGGGTCACGCTCGAATCCGGCGTCGTGTTACACAATGTCAGCGTTGCCTACAAGACCTACGGTACCCTCGCGCCCAGCGGAGACAATGCCATGGTGATATGCCATGCGCTCACCGGAAGCGCTGACGTGGGAGACTGGTGGGGACCGTTGCTAGGTGGGCCTGGGAAGGCTTTTGATATATCGCGCTTCTTCGTCGTCTGTATGAACAGTCTCGGCAGTCCTTACGGGAGCGCAAGCCCGGTCACAGCAAAAGATGGCGACGTCTCGCTGGGTCCGTACGGACCCGAGTTTCCACTGACAACTGTAAGAGACGATGTCAAGTTAGTCGAGCGAAATCTGGAATTCGTACTTGGAAGCTGCTAACGGGCACAGTGTCTTCAAGCTCCTCTTGGATGATCTTGGTGTGAAGCAGGTCGCTGCCGTCATTGGAGGATCCATGGGCGGTATGCTTGTCCTCGAGTTTGCCTACTTCGGAAAAGACTACGTCAAGACCATCATCCCGATAGCCACTTCCGCTCGCTACAGCGCATGGGGCATCAGCTGGGGCGAAGCGCAACGGCAAAGTATCTACAGTGACCCCAAATACGACGACGGCTATTACGCATATGAAGATCCTCCATCGACCGGGCTTGGAGCCGCACGCATGTCTGCTTTACTGACTTACAGAAGCCGCGACTCGTTCGAATCAAGATTTGGGCGCAACACACCAGACCTATCCAAGAAACAGAGCATCAATACTGTACCGCGACCGACCACTCCGTCCAATCCCTCCCATGAACACTGGGCGATACACAACCACGGTCACAAGAACGCTGGCTCGCCGCGTCTGATGTCACGGACAAACAGCAGTACCGCCATACCCGGTTCTGCAGCCGCACATGCCGACCTCGAGTTCCATGATGCATCGGACCCAGCCACTCCGAACCTCGAAAGGTCAAGCTCGACAAGTAGCAACAGTCAATTCCCGCGCTCATCGAAGCCTCTTGCGCCGCACTACTTCTCAGCACAGTCCTACCTCCGTTACCAGGCCGACAAGTTCATCAAGCGTTTTGACGCTAATTGTTACATCGCAATCACAAGAAAGCTGGATACGCATGATGTATCCCGCTACCGCTATCCTGAAGGCGAGACGCCCGACACACTAGATCCAGTATCGGCCCTTCATTATGCGCTTTCCTTGATTGAACAGCCTACACTGGTACTAGGTATACAGTCGGACGGTCTCTTCACATTTGCCGAACAGAAGGAATTGGCCGCTTGTATTCCCAAGGCTACACTTAAGACGATCGATTCTCCAGATGGTCACGACGCCTTCCTCCTGGAATTTGAGCAGGTAAACAAACACTTACTAGGCTTCCTCAAGACCGAGCTTCCAGAGATCATGAATAGAACACCAAACGTAGAGACCGCAACAAGCGATTCTGGTATGGTCGCCACCAAAAGCAGCACGTTTGGTGAGGCTGAGGTCGACGATATCACGGCATGGTAAGAAGAATGGGAGCATTGAATTTGGCACGGCGTTCTGGGTTCAGAGGATAACTGCACTGGTCGGCGTACAAATTTCGGTATAGGCTTGAAAGAAGGCTGCATGAGTATAATGCGCCATGGGGCGTCCCGAGCTGAGGTTCAACCCCTCGTAGACACCAAGTATTGCAGCATGAGAGCAGCAACAACAACCCAATAATTCTCTCCTCTTAGTTTTCCCGAATCTTTCGACTCTGTCACAAACGGCTCGCTCATGTCCAATCTACCTCATGTCTGTACCCCGCCTTGCACGCTAATCGTTAGTCGTCTCCGCACGTCCACCGTCTCGCGTGCCCCTCATCCTCGGTTCGTATACACAGCGGATACTCCCCGCAGACCTTGACACGAACGTGCTTTATCCGATCTGGTCTCCCGAGTTGCAGTGCTGTAGGATCACGAGGGCTTCGGTGACGATGCACGGTAGATTATGAACGCAACGTCTTGACAATGGTAGAGGGATTATCTGTGTACCGAATTCGGACTGCTCATGCTTTTGCGACCCCGATCAGTAACCTTCGACTATCCGTACAAAGGCCAAGAACAAGGTCCGTTAAGTTGGACCCCCGCACATAGGACAGTGGGTGCCGGGTGTCCGTGTTGATACATATATAGGTGTATTCGGAGTGACTCAATGTTCCTCAATCAGCCATACTCCCTTTCTTCACATCGTCCCGAATACAGTAACATTATGCAACTCCCCAAAACACAAAAGGCGGCCATCAAACAAGGCACCGGCGACAACGCTACGATTACCATCAAGGAGATTCCTGTCCCAGAACCAGCTCCTGACCAGATTCTCGTCAAGATAAACTACAGTGGCCTCTGTGCCTCGGACAAATCCCTGCTCCATGATGAGTGGGACTTCAAGATGGCCGAATGTACCAAAGGCATCGCAGGCCATGAGGGCGCTGGCATCGTTGTAGCCGTTGGCGCAAACGTGCAGGATCTCTGGCAGCCTGGTAATCGCGCTGGTATCAAATGGATTGCGTCTGTATGCCGACGATGCGAGTTTTGTACTAATGGCCAAGACGAATGTCATTGCCCGAAGCAGCTGAACAGTGGATTTACTGTTGCGGGAACGTTCCAGGAGTATTGCTTAACGGATGCGAGATATGCGACGAGATTGCCTGATGGTGTCAAAGATGAGGAGGCGGGCCCGATCATGTGTGGTGGTGTTACAGCGTATGTGGCTTGCAAGAGAAGTAAAGTACTCCCCGGGCAGTGGATTGTCATTCCGGGAGCGGGTGGTGGTGAGTATGCGCATAGCGCTTTTGTGTCCTCTTCCGTCTTTCGCAGCGACGAAATTGAAACCGTCATATAAGATGATGCTGATACCACCCAGGCCTTGGTCATTTTGGTGTTCAGTACGCTCGCCAT